ACTCTTTTATGGATCATCATTTCGTAAATAAAATCAAAAGAAAGCATTGAGCTGTCGGTCATCAGGTCTGAGTAACTATACCACGTGATCTGTAATGTGCCGACTTATTCAGGAAGTATCTGTTACACCTTATTTCACTTTTCTATTTCTTAGTAAACGTGCTCTGTGTTTGTCCAACATTAGTGCGTTGCTCTCTTTTGAATTGAACCTTGGAAACAGACTATCTGCGACACTAGACTGTGTTTTGCTTATATAAGCTACTTATACAACTTGTATCCATTAAATTCCTGCATCGGTTTAGCTCAATGGTTACTTCTTACATTGACGTTTCCACTCTGTCGGTCCGCGGGCTGTGAGTTCGACTATGGGCGCTGTCCGATGTTTTACTTTCGTTTCTCTTATTTTTCTGCTCGGCTCTTTATCTCATAACTACAAGCTAAAATCCTTATTACCACAGCAAGAGCTTATCTCTGGGAGAATTAACCTATGGTTATGTTATGATATTGTAGTTTAGGAGACTAAACCCACACTATGAACGACCACGTGACTTTTGTGAGAATATTTCCCACATACGGAAAATATGTCTTATAAATAACTACATGAATTAAAAACAGATGTTCTCTGTCTGATTGTGATTTTTCCACGAAAATGAACATGTCCCTGTAGTTCTTGTTATGGAAGTGTTGCTCAAAGGTAATGAGAGCAGCTCAGTCATAGACACCTGTCTCCAGTAGAAGGCGCTGTAAAACAGATCAACACTTTACAACACCTGGTGTTCTTGTGGATTTAGTTGCTCTCCCAAACTGTATTACATTTTTTTAAGCGCGGTAGCTCAGTCCACAAAGTAAGAAAAGTCAAAAAGCATTATTTTGTGGTGAAATTGAAGGTAGCTCTAAATAAAATGAGCTGATTATCGGTTATCGACAATTGAGAAGCCCAAACTGTCCATTTCTGGTCTACACATATAGCATGTCTATCTTACAGCTGTCATTATGTCCCAAGCCAACTGGTATATGGATACTATTACTACATACTTTGACTGAATAACAATAATATTAATAATAATAAATACACGTTTAAAATAGCTAATAATATGAATATAATAGTGGTAGAAATAGCATCGCTAACTTTACCACATAAAACATTTCGTTACAGAGTATTTCCAGTGGAAACACTGTTTGGTGTCCTCACTCTTTGGCCTCAGTAGCTGTTATATCATTCATTATCCAGTAGATGGCACACTAAGACCACAAATAAAAAAAAACAAGACCTCAAACACTACAGACAATAACTAATGCCCTCTTATGGGGACAAAGTGACAACTGCTGAGAATTAATTGAAAAATGCTGATAGGTGCTTCGGGATATGTCAGTAAATTAGCTTATAATGCGTTTTCCCCCGGTTATCTTTTTAATATGCTTGTGAGAGGTATATTCGGGGAGGGCACCCCTTCAGGCTTTATTATATTATCTTATTTACTCCCATAAATTGATATAGCCAGCAGTGACTATTTGTCACATCCAGCACCAGTAACACACCTCATCCTCACTCTCACCAAAACACCCCATGCTTAACACGTGTTGTCATATTCTGTATGCACATGTCTTGCTGTTTGAAGTGGAATGTATCAGATTGGATTATATATATTTGGTAATATTTTCACTTTGAATGTGTTTTCCCAAATTAACCTGATGAATACTGTGGGGTGAAGTAAAGTATAAAGCCCCAATGAACTGGATATTAATGAGTGGAGTTGTTATTATGACGTGATTAATACGTTACTTTGATACATTGGGCGACTCAAACTATAATGCTCAATGCGGGATATGATTTAGACATGAATCCTTCATTCTTTCAGTCAGTGGCTTTCAAAGTGGGGACCATGTGAGGACCACCATTATCGTAAAACTCGAGGTTAAGTATTTGGTTCTGTATGGTTGCATTGCAGGAGTGTTTTTTTTGTGACAGTTAAAACAATGTCACAAACAATACAGCATATGCTCTCTTTGGTGGCTGAGTAGAAAATATTCAAAACTGACATCAGCACTGAAAACAAACGTATTTTAGGCTTTTTATGTATTATATGTTTGTCAATTGCATGGGAAATATAGTATATGCATTGTAATATATACTAATCAATTGCTATGTGTTAATGTTTGCTTTTACTTATTTGTCTGTGTCTATATCCTATATTTGTATCTTCCTAAATATGTGTTCTCTTCACGGTGAATGTATTGAGAACTGAGAATTTGATTCAAATTTTCTTTTCAATTTTCCTTATGCTACTTGGTCACTTAAGTTAAGATTCTGTACTGATAAGGTAAACTGAACAAAACTATACTATTCCTTTATTATGGGGCCCTAAAATGATTGAACACCATGTTGCTGAGAGAGGCGTCACTGGGATTACAACAGGCCTACTTATTTCAAGACCTGTTTTACATTATCGGATAGTGCCCAGTAGATGGCGCCACAAGATCACAAACGATATGCAATGAGTTGGTTTGTGCGCATTGTGGGTCAAATAAGACGTGGCCTGTACCTGCTCAACTGAAATCCCTTTAAAAAATTAAGATCTCTGTCTTTATTTTGAAGCGTGAAAGGAATAAATTCTGAGTTAAAAGTTTCCCATTAGTCCTCCACCACCCGGGATGCACCCACCGCCACCCTCTCATCCTGTGACAAAGTAACGGGTCACGGTCAGGTGGTTGTTGAGCGGTAGTTCAGAGAAAGTAATGGCTGTCTTCCTCTCGGACAATGGGGTGAGCAAGGCGATAGGGGCGGATGAGACCGGCTTAATGCTCCGTGTAATGCATGTTAATGTAACAGGCACCGAGGCACCGCCGGCCGGAGTGCTTTGGGATTATTTATCACAAAACATTTGTATTCTTCCGTCGGAGAACGGTTGATCCCGGATAGCTGCGCACTAATCCTTCACTCCGTTAATTAAAAAGAAGAGGAAAGCAATGGAACTGGTGGTGGTGATTTTTTTCTTCTCCAGAAATGTAATCCTTTCTGGAGAAGCTTAACCATCTGCTTGAGGTTAAGTCTGCAAGCAGATTGTGTTTTCTGCTTATTTAAACCTGAGGATTTTAGGTTTTTTTTCCTGAAAAGGGGAGGGTGTTTCATTTCGGGGGCTGCTTGTTTGAGAGACAGTTCGGGGACACTTGCTTGTGCCCAGGGAAAAGTACAAGTGATAGTTATGCAACATGTTATTCCACAATGATCCCTTTAATAATTCGATAACATTCCAGATTTTACGCAGAAAAAAATAATTGGGAACTTTCATGCCCCTTTCAATACTAGACTGAACATGAATTACACAAAAACTACATACATCCCTGATTCTTAAAGTTATTCTTCTCTCAGCATAAAGGAAACATGTCAGAAACAACCACCATCTCCAAGTTGAGGTATTCCCACGAGCCCCGTTTGATTTGTTTTTTCAAGGGAAAAGATCACAACAATATTAGACATGAACGTCGCTTGGTTTCCCTGATGATTCTCTCAGAGAAGCATGTCATCGACACTATTTTCGACAGAGGACGTAGTCCTCGGGTTTGGGGGGGCAGTTTACCAGAAAATGTAGCGTCTAGTGAAAAAAGGAAATGCTGCCTGAGGAAGTAGAAATGTTTGTTTCTTGTTCTTTCTCTCTCATCTCGCTCTCGCACTTCTTCAGTCGCTAACAAGCTCAGCGCTGCCCAGGGGCCAAGGCTGTGTCGTCAGTCCCAAGAAGAGACTTTCAGATTTCAAGCCACCGTTTTACATTAGGATGCCACTCGTGTCTGTCTAGAGACGAACCCGAATACACAAAGGCATCCTTCAGTTTCTCTCTCTCTCTTTCCCGCTCTCCGTGGTTCAGTGGTTGTCTAACTGACCAGGATTAACAGGGAAAAGATTAGATTTGAACAAACATGTGCCGCACTCTAAAGAGGCTCGAGTTGTCCTCTTTCTCCTACAAACACTACACTGCTCAGTGTTGTAGCAGTACTTTGATCTACTGGAGTCACTTATAGGATATATCGAAAACATCCCGCAGCATCATGCTCGCCCTTTTCTGTCATCTGAAACTGTAAACACATCACCTATGGGGTATTTATCTAATCTCAACTATAATACCTGATTAGAGACAAGTATGATTAAGGCTTTATGACATTGCTTTTATGTTGATTATGTTGTTACATGTTCAGGCCTACTTAAGTGAATTACAACGCGTGTAACGCGTATTTCTATGAGTATCACCCCGCTCGTGATTGTCAATGTAATCACTTTAAGCTCCAAATGTACTCGTTTAAATATTGATTAAATTGGGTATCCTGACCCATCAACGATTCTTTTTGTAAGACCCAATTTCGTGTGTGATGATTAATGAATGGGACTGTTTTTGCAGTGTGGGCATTCATCTTCAAAGGGCTCTCATTAATAAGCATTATAGATTCCCAGATGCCCACTGGCAGTGGCCACTGGCCCATTTGAGGCAAAGAGGATGAACGTTTAGTCCAGTGTGTTTTGCTTTACTGCATTGCAAACTATAATAGTTGAACCATGGAAGAAAAGTTTATATTTTTCTGTATAACGGGGGTCATAACGATTTAAAGTAAAATGTTAGCTACTACAGCCATCCTGGGCCTATAGGGCAATGTGGTCACCAAGACAAATCCTTGTCCATCCTCATCTGTTAAATGCAGCCTAGAAAACGACACCCACAACATTATTTGTCCCTTAATCCAAATCTGGCTCTGACGTCTGGTGTAAAATTTACGCCTTCTCGTCTCTTTAGTGGGTCAGAAGAACAGACACGAGGATGTGAAAGGGTTAAACGTCTACAGTAATTAGAGTCGCACTTCGCGTCGGCGTCCTCCAATACGGAGCTGCGAGAAGCTACGTCCACCCCCTCCATTTCTCTCTCTCTCTCTCTCTCTCTCTCTCTCTCTCTCTCTCTCTCTCTCTCTCTCTCTCTCTCCCACACACACACACACGCCTCCCCACCAGCTCCTCGGAGTGTCTAATACACTGGAAAAATCAAAGCGCGAGCCTCCCCCGTTCACACACCACCGGTGTTGCGCGTGGAGCACAACACAGAGAGAGAGAGAGAGAGAGAGAGAGGTGCCTTTACTCTCTTCTCCTCTCTCGTCCCCTCCTTTTAACTTATCCACACATAGATGTTACAAACTTAGTTCTGAAGATATATATTTTTTAAATTTAATTTGGGAAAGGCGCTGCTTTTGTATGTACTTTTTTAGCTGTAGTCTACAGTTGAAGGGCTTTATAAGGCGAAAGATGTCTGGATGAGGTGATTTTTACGCACTCCATTGAAATGGATCACAGACTCTCCAGAGGCAGCTGGGTACCGGTGACTGGGCTGGTTGTATGTCTGCTTCTATGTGCGTGTGTTGTGGACCTGGTTCTTGCGCAAATTCGTTACTCCATTCCCGAAGAGCTGGAGCACGGAGCTTTTGTGGGCAACATCGCCGAAGACCTGGGTTTGGATGTGGCCAAGTTGTCAGCCCGTCGGTTTCGTATAGTCTCCGGCGCAAAGAGGCAGTATTTAGAAGTGAACTTGGAGAATGGCATTCTCTTCGTCAACGAAAAGATGGACAGAGAGGAGCTGTGTGAACGAAGCCCGAGCTGTTTTTTACACCTACAAGTGGTAATTGAAAACCCATTAGAACTGTACAGAGTGGAAGTGGAGATTTTAGATGTGAATGACAACTCTCCCAGTTTCCCATGGAGCGAGTTTAATCTTGACATCACAGAGTCGGCTGCGCCTGGCTCCTGTTTCCCGTTAGAGAGTGCACAGGACCAGGACGTGGGCACCAACTCTCTGCGCTCTTACCAGCTAAGCGCAAACCAGCACTTTGTACTGAATATCCAGACGCGCAATGATGGAAGCAAGTTTGCTGAGCTCGTGCTGGACACCCCTTTGGACCGGGAACAGCAGAAAAGGCACGAAATGGTTCTGACTGCCTTTGACGGGGGGGTCGCCGGAACGCTCTGGTACAGCACTGATAACTATTACAGTGTTAGACGCAAACGATAACGTGCCCGTATTTGACCGCTCAGTTTACCGGGCGAGTCTGGTGGAGAACGCACCGAGGGGTACGCTGGTGCTGAAGCTAAACGCCACAGACCTGGATGAGGGCTCCAATGGAGAGGTGACCTACGCGTTTAGCGGGCACGCACCCCTCAAAGTGCGCGAGCTGTTCAGCGTGGAACCGTACACGGGTGAAATCCGAGTGAAGGGCATTGTGGACTATGAGAAAGCCAGTGTATTTGAGCTGTATGTGCAAGCAAAAGACAGGGGACCCTCGGCTGTGGCTGTGCACAGTAAAGTGCTGGTAGACATACTGGATGTCAATGACAACGCGCCCGAAGTCATTCTCACATCAGTGTCCACTCCTGTGCAGGAAGATGCGCCACCGGGCACGGTGATAGCTGTCATCAGTGTTATGGACCGGGACTCGGGAGAGAACGGAAACGTCGACTGCCAAATTCCGAGCAACGTCCCCTTTCAGCTCCATTCATCTTTTAAAAACTATTATACCCTGGTGACAAGCGAGTTTCTGGACAGGGAAGCGGTGTCCGAGTACAACATCACCCTAACAGCCCGAGACTTGGGCTCTCCTTCGCTCTCCACCAGAAAAACAATGCTCGTTCAACTGTCTGACATTAATGACAACCCCCCACGGTTCTCTCAACCTTCATACACAGTGTATGTGACCGAGAATAATGCCCCGGGCGCTTCCATTTGCTCTGTAACTGCATTCGACCCCGATTCTAACCAGAACGCATATCTGTCTTATTCTATTCTGGACGGTCAGATTCAGGGCATGCCCGTGTCCACGTATGTGTCAATCAACTCTGACAACGGTAATATCTACGCACTGCGCTCCTTTGATTATGAGCAACTTAGAAACTTTCAGATTCTGGTGCAGGCGCAGGACGCTGGTTTCCCCCCTCTCGCCAATAATATCACAGTCAACGTCTTTGTCTTGGACCAGAACGACAATGCACCTGTTATCGTGTCCCCGCTTCCCAAAAACGGCACCGTGGCCACAGAGGTGGTTCCGCGGTTAGTAGACGCTGGTTATCTGGTTACCAAAATAACAGCGTTAGACGCGGACGCAGGGCAAAACTCCCGGCTGTCCTATCAGGTGTTGCAGGCTACAGACCCAGGGCTGTTCAGCGTGGCTCTGTACACGGGCGAAATCCGGACTATTCGCCGGCTCGTGGAAAAAGATGTAACAAGGCAAAGACTGGTCATATTAGTCAAGGACAACGGACAGCCGCCGCTCTCCGCCACGGTCTCTATTGTCCTGACAGTGGTCGACAGCGTGCCCGAGTCCCTGTCAGATTTCGGAGACCTCACGCTCAGCCCACAGCCCCCCTCAAACCTCGCTCTCTACTTGATCGTGTCACTGAGCACAATATCTTTAATATTCCTTGTGGCTATAATTGTGCTCGCTGCAGTCAAGTGCTACAAGGACAGGGAGACCATCAGCGGGTACAACCTTCCCCCGTTCGCCTGCTGCTGTTGCGGGGGGTTTCAGCCCGATCCGCCTCCGGAGGTGTTCAAAAAATCCAACCTCAACCTGCAGATTTCATCCGCGGCCAAAGTGCCCACGAACTGCATGGAGGTGAATGGAAACAGCAGTCTCTCCCAGTCATATTGTTACAAAGTGTGCCTGACTCCCGAATCTGCCAAAAGTGACTTCATGTTTCTGAAGCCGTGCAGCCCCGGCAGCACACCGAGGAACAACGAGACGAAGAGCGCGGAAAACTCGTGGAACGCGCAAAGCCGGAGCGCATCTGTGAACAACGGCGCAACTACTCCAAACGAGGTACAGTGAAAACAGCGTATAGTATAAGTCGCAAGAGCTCATGTTATTCGTTTAAACACATCTGGTTCACTCACTGCCACAGCAAAACCCATCTCAGTTTTCTATCTGATAACATGTGACATTCGCCCATGAAGGTCAAATTACACATACCAGACAGATTTAAACACAATTTAAGCAAAAAAAAATGAGCAAGGCCATGCATTTCTGGTCTTCTCTCTCTTCTTAATTGTGTTATACCAGCATGTTGTCTCGACTGTTTTTATAATCATGGCAATAATGTATCCCAAGTGTGCAGCCTATAGTAATTTTTTGCACCCGGGAAATGATATGAGACGACGTGAGATTACAGTGTAATTGACATGGTAATGAAAGCGTAAAGCCCTATCTCAAGGAACATATTCTGTGCACACACCGTGTCTTATCATCTGTTTAGAATGAAGTGAGATATCAATTACTGTGTGAGAGGAAGAGGAGATGTAGTTCAAGTGGACTCCTCTTCAGTCTTCACGACACATTTTTACAAAAAAAAAACGTGGAAAAAGCCTTTTATAATAATTCATTAACTTAATTATAATAGTTTGTGACCTCGGATATGAAAACATCACCCAGTGCCACATACTTTTCACGCAGTGAGGGAACAAACACACCTGCTTCCAGCACATCTACCTGAGTCTGAACAAGTCAAGGTTATATGCATAACGGGCAAGGTGAATGGCAGTTATTTGAATGCATCTGTCTTGAGTTCAGACAATTCTTTTTCGACCAGTCTGGTTTGCGGCACGCCTTCTTGTCCTCAAACTAACAATATAGGACAGATAACCTCACTAACTATGCCTCAAGGGCACAAACACGGCCATTATACTACACACAATGTGGCGTAGGCCTATGCTCAAGGGGGCCTGTCCATTATTGATGAAAAATGGCAAATGGACGGTTTTGGGGAGACAGTGGAGGACATCGAGAGGGGAGGGGGCCAGGAGAAGGAGGGGGGTGCAAGGACATGGCTGGACTGAGACGTGGGCCGCCTGTAGATCGGCCCCGATGTTGTCCTCTGAATGAGAGAGAGAGAGAGAGAGAGAGAGAGAGAGAGAGAGAGAGAGA